ACACAATCGAAATCTTTTTTAATAATTGAAAACATGTATGGAAATGATCTCATGAACCTATCTGTCTTGAATAATATGACAAAATATCGGCAAAAAGGCAGACACCAACCCGTACAAGAGATATAATATAATTCGATAAGAAATAATTTTAAAAGTTTCTGTAATATTAAGATTTTTCAATGATTTCGTAATTGAACGTTATATTGCAAAACATGAGATGATGCAGAACAAAATAAATTTTAAAATCAGAAAATCACATTGAAAATACTTCTTTTTGACGAACTTATAGTGTTGTTTAAAATGCAATTGAAATATTAACAGTTGCTTCATTAAAAAGTAGTGGAAAATTATCCATATGACGATAATGTAAACAAATCTGGGAAGGAAGCTTTAAAGGATTTTAGGGCAGAGCCCTAAGGGAATTTACTTCGTTTTTCTGTTGATGGCTCTTCTACAGACCGATACCTTTTCTTGGACACCACTACCAAGTTTCTACGCCCAGCCTTTCTCTCAAACTAGTGGGGGACAAAGTTTCCAATTAAATGTTTAGATTCCCCCATGTTAATCTTATGGGAGGAACCCCAACTTTGACGGAAGATCCTGCCCAAACTAATAAAGATTTCAAAATATGAAAACCATTTTACAAATCTACAAATCAGGGTAATTTTTTTGGCACCTTAATTTTAAAAATCGGTTCAAAAATGAGGGAGGAGTTTTGTTCACAAAAATCGGCTTAGCGTTATATGTATATAGATGTTTTCTGTATCCTTGTTGATCTCGACAAGATGGAACTATTTGCTACTTGGCGGCATTTCAAACACATCATAAAATCCACAATTATTGAAGGAAACCTGCGTATGGATGATATGTACATTTTGTTAACGTGTATGGTTTTCATTCAATCTAATTCATCACTTTTTTTATAAAAGCTAACATTAAAAATTCTGTTTTTCTCAAGTAAACCAATCACATAAAAAATATTAACTAAGACACTATTATTTAAAGAGCTGTATGTATTACCATGTAAACACATAAACTTTGTTCGCATTAAAACATGTAGTTCTGTTCTTAAAAACCCCACAAGATTTATAAACTAACTAGAGGACCCATGCTACTCCGCAGCGTTGAAATAAATATCATATCCAAAAAATAATTAATCTTTTACGAGCAAATTTCGTTTACATATAAGCCGAGGGAGACTGCAGAAAAATATATGCCGATGCTTGGTAGGAAGTTTGTTTGTGCTTACCTTCAATTTGAGGCCTCGATCATGAAAATCGGTCTAGTAGAAGAGCCAAACGAACCCGGAAAAGAAAACCAGGTTTAACTCCCTTAAGAAATACATGGGGAGCAAATTTCGCCTAATTATAAGCCGAGTGGGACTGTAGATAGATATATGCCGATGCTTGATGGGAAATCTGTGCGTGCATACCTTCAATTTGAGACCTAAATCATGAAAATCGGTCGGGTAGAACAGCCAAACTAACTCGGAAAAGAAAAACCAAATTGTACTCCCATAAGAAATACATGGGGAGCGAATTTCGTATACGTATAAGCCGAGTAGGACTGTAGATACATATATATGCTGATAGTTGATGAGAAATCTGTGCGTGCATACCTTCAATTTGAGACCTATATAATGAAAATCGGTCAAGTAGAAGAGCCAAACAAACTCGGAAAAGAAAAACCAAATGTTTTTAATTATACCGTTTTAAATGAGTTCCCCCGCCCTACTTTTTTCTACATTTCTTAAGATATCAACTTCGGACCACGTCAGATCATTTTAGTGTAGTAAGTACTTCGTTTTGACTGGGTATACATTTTTGGGCGCAATCTTGGATCCGCCATTATTGGATACAAAGTTTCTTTTAAAATGTAAAGGTTGGGTTGTGACCCATTGTTTCAAACTAGAATTTTACGCTGATTACAATGCTGCAATTAGTTTCTAAAAATCTTGATCCGTTCTAAAGTTATGAGGACTTTTTATAACTTTATTTTTAGCCCATTTTATCATTGTACATTTACAAACTAAGACCATAATCTCAAAATAGTGCTAGATAAAGATGAGTGTACACCACCATTCATTGTCGACCTATTATCACTTGGTTATGACGGATATATTTTTTTCTGCCGCCATCTTGGATCTGCCATTTTGAAACGTGATAAACTAATTTAAATATGAAGGTGGTGTTATGACCCATCATTTTCAACTACTTTTTTATGCTGAACTCAATGCCACAATCTGTTTTTGTTTCTCAGGCTTTCTTGGTGAAATATTAAAATTATCTTACTTACATTTCCAATATTTCAAAAAACAAATATGAAAATGCAAAACGGATTGCAAATCGGAGGAATCCGATTTTGGCATTTTCAAACTATCGAAAATATACCATTTAGGCTGTAGACGTAAAAGTACGGACAAACTAACTATTTATAACAAAAATATTTTTGTGTTGAAATTTTAAAACAATTGTCTCAAACCCTACACCAAACAATGCTGATTCATAATGGTTAAAACAACTATGATCGATAATGTCTCTAGCCAGTAATTTTTACTGACCTTATGGCTAGAGACATTATCGATTCACACGGGGACCCGCGTGAAGTTGGCCCCACTATAATGAGCACAATTTATAAAAACATGTCTATAATTTAGTGCTGAATTTGTGCTTCTCAAAGGTATATATAAAAAATTTGTGCTCAACAATAACACTCAAAAAAATTATAAAAACTGTTGGCGGTGCTAACTTCACGTTCAGCCCGCCACCAAAGGAATTAACAATGTATTATACATAGAAATTTATTGCTCATTTTGTGCTACAACAATTTATAGTTTTTATAATTGGTGCTCTAAAAACAACCTAGTAAATGAGGAAAATCTTCCGCTGGTGATGACGTCATCCGCCCCGCCACATTGAGCAAATCGGTTGAAAATGGTGTCATGATTTAGTGCTCATTTTGTGCTTCAACAATATACAGGGTGGCTGAAAAGTAACTTGCACCCCCCCTTAACTTTTCAACCATTTGAGATATTTGAAATCGGTTTGCGGCAACCTTCTTAGATACGAGGGGCTACAATAATTATGGTCGATTTTGAAAATTTTGCCCTTAGGGGTAGCGGGGGTAGGGGGTAGCTCAAAATTTTAAAATGACAAGTATAGTCAAGTTTGGTATCATTTTACAGGTCTTGACGAAACATGAACATTGACATAAAGAAAACCAAAATCGGCTCACTAATAAAAAATGGCGCCCTAAAACGTTTCAAACCCAAATAACCATGAGGATGGCAACAAAATTAACTTGCACCCTCTTTAACTTTTTAACTATTTCAGATATTTGAAATCGGTTTGCGGCAACTTGTTTGGAAATGAAGGGATACAATAATCATGGTCAGTTTTGAAAATTTTGCCCTTAGGGGTAGCGGGGGTAGGGGAAGCTCAAAATGTTCAAATAGCAAGTATAGTCGAGTTTGGTATCATATTGTAGGTCCTGATGAAACATAACAATTAACATAAAGAAAATAGAAATCGGACCATTAATAACAAAATGGCAGCGCAAAATAACTTTGAATAACCATTGTCTCAATCATTTTTAGCTGCCATTTTGTTATTAGTGGTCCGATTTCAATTTTTTTTTATGTCAATGTTCATGTTTTGCCAAGACCTGTAAAATGATACCAAACTCGACTATACTTGTCATTTGAAAATTTTGAGCTACCCCCTACCCCCGCTACCCCTAAGGGCAAAATTTTCAAAATCGACCATAATTATTGTAGACCCTCGTATCTAAGAAGGTTGCCGCAAACCGATTTCAAATATCTAAAATGGTTGAAAAGTTAAGTGGGGGTGCAAGTTACTTTTCAGCCACCCTGTATATACGTTTTATAATTTGTGCTCTTAAAACACCCGAGTAAATGAAGAAAAACTGCTGCCGGTGATGACGTCATCCGCCCCGCCACATTGAGCAAATCGGTTGAAAATGGTGCCATGATTTAGTGCTAATTTTGTGCTACAACAATACAGGGTGTTGAAAATGTCTGGAACCAACATTATATCTCGTGAGTGGTTAAAGAAAAACAACTGATATTTTGTGTACGGATATACTATGGTTTTACCTATCTTTTAGTGCCTTATGAAAATTTTTACCACTTATAGGGAACGTCCTGTGGAGGATGCAGTAAAAAGTTTTAATGGAAGACTATGGTAAATGATACATCATTTTAAATGCCATTTTTTTCTGAGTAAGGAGCCACAAGTTTCATCTCAAAAGGACCACCCTAGCAAAAATGGCGACTGTTTGAAATATAAAAAACCACTTATAGTAAACGGAATTTTTAATTTTCAAACAGTCGCCATTTTCGCTAGGGTGGTCCTTTTGAGATGAAACTTGTGGCTCCTTACTCAGAAGAAAATGGCCTTTAAAATGATGTATCATTTACCATAGGCTTCAATGAAAACATTTTACTGCATCCTCCACAGAACGTTCCCTATAAGTGGTTATTTAAATTTCAAACAGTCGTCATTTTTGCTAGGGTGGTCCTTTTGAGATGAAACTTGTGGCTCCTTACTCAGAAAAAAATGGCCTTTAAAATGATGTATCATTTACCATAGGCTTCCTTTTAAACTTATTACTGCATCCTCCACAGGACGTTCCCTATAAGTGGTAAAAATTTTCATAAGGCACCAAAAGATAGGTAAAACCATAGTATATCCGTACACAAAATATCATTTGTTTTTCTTTAACCACTCACCAGATATAATGTTGGTTCCAGACATTTTCAACACCCTGTATATAAGTTTTATAATTTGTGCTCTTATAATTAATTATAATGTTAACATATGTTTTATTTACATTTTATTTATAACATGTGTTCAAATTATTCTTTTGTTTACTTGTTGAATTGTTTATGTTTACTTACAGATTGTGATTTAATAAAAACTTACTTTCTATTTTCTTATACAAAATGTGAACTTTTATTAGTAAAATTAGTGGAATCAACAATGGCGACGAGTAAAATGGTAAGTAGAAAAGAATTGGATTTGTATCTCAAGAAAAGAAAGTTGCTAGAACTACGCTTGAACAAATTCAAGGATGATTTACTTACATGTGAACATTCTCAAGATACATGCACTTACTATACCGATAAACTTTCAGCAATATGGACTGAACTCGAAGCTACACAGTCACATATTGAACTTCACACTAATTCAGTAGAAAGTGAATTAGAAATTCGATGGCAGTTAGAAGAATTATATAGAGAGATACGAACATTCCTTGAAGCAGAAAAGAAAAAGTACATTACACAAACTGCAATGTCTGGCTCTACAATATCTCAACATGTATCTAATATTCCTTTCCAGCCATATACACAAGAGGAAAGTTTTCAAAACTTCACTCGGCGCTTTGAAAACTACACAAAATTACGGGGAAACTTAAGTCCAAAGGTCAAAGTGGATTTATTTTTACAATCAATCACCCCACAAATACACGAACAGCTCTACGATCTTTGCATACCAGATGATCCACATAACAAGCCATATGAGGAATTGATTCATCTGTTAATGGCACAACTAGAACCAAAACCCAGTATTTGGGCTCGTCAGCACAAATTCACAACACGTACTCAACTATGTAATGAATCTGTACACGCTTACGCAAATGCTCTTCGAAAGCTCAGTGTCGAATGCCAGTTTACTTGTACACATTGTAATGAATCCGTATCTGAAATTCTACTTCGAATGCAGTTTGTCAGGGGACTAAGAGACTCTGATATACGTCTTCATCTTCTTCAAGATAAACTATTGCAACCGTTTAAAGAAGTAGTCGAGAAGGCAGCTACATTGGAACTAGCGACAAGTGAGAGCAGAATAGTTAAGACAAATGAATATCGAGAGGAAGTACACCAAGTATCGAGCAAGAACAAACACCTGGATAGTAAGTCAAGTAAATCTAATCGTACAACTCTCTGATTATCAATCTCGTTTTGAGAAACTGAGGAACAAATGCTATAGATGTGGTGATGATTCACATAGAGCCCATAAATGTAAGTTCAAAAATGCAGAATGCAACTCGTGTAAACGTTTTGGTCACTTAGCAAGAGTGTGCTTAAGGAAACCAAACAAAGAAGTAAAACAATCAGATGAATCCGTAGAAAATACAAGTGATGACACTTATGAAATTTACCAACTTCATTCGAGGTAAAAGTGGAAGGACGACTCATGACAATGGAATTAGATACAGGAGCGGCTCTCAGCATTGTATCATATGATACATTTAAACTTTTAAATTCTCCAAAAAGGATTTTCAAAACAAATGTTCAACTCAGGACATACACTGGAGAAATAATCAATCCAAGAGGAGTTGTTTTTGTAGATGTTCAGTACAAAGATCAAAGTTTTGTTGGAAAACTGTACATTGTAAACAAGTGTGTAGACTCTATATTCGGAAGAGAATGGATAAGAGAGATTCAGCTTGATGCAGCTGACATACATTCATTAGATTCAAGTGAAACAAATGAAAACATTCAAGAACTAGATAAACTGATGATTCAATACGAAGACATTTTCAAAGAAGGCATTGGGAAAATACCAAACGAAAAGGGCCATTTTAATGTAAAAGACGAAACCCAGCCAATATACATCAAACCAAGACACATGCCATATGCACTTCAAGAAAAGGTAGAGAAAGAACTTGAACGACTGGAAACTTTGGGTATAATCACACTAGTCGAATCATCTGATTGGGGCACTCCAATTGTTCCGGTCGTCAAACCAAATGGTTCAGTCAGAATATGCGCTGACTACAAGGTGACATTGAACAAAGTCATCAAAGACGAACACTACCCTATACCTCGGATCGACGATATCATGTCAAAGATGCATTGTGGAAAGATATTTTGTACTCTTGATATCAGTAATGCATACTTGCACCTGGAGATGGACGAAAACAGTGCCATAATGCAAACAATCAGTACTCATAAAGGGCTGTTTAAGGTGAACCGATTAATGTTTGGAGTAAAAGTGGCACCCTTGTTATGGCAGAGATTCATGGACAAAACATTACATGGCTTAGAAGGTGTACAAAGTTTCTTCGATGATGTCATTATCCAAGGATCTAACCGGGAACAGCTTCTTCGCCGACTGAAACAGGTGTTCGAACGACTGAAGACAAACGATTTGAGGCTAAATAGAGACAAATGCAAGTTTTTCCAGACGAAAATTGAGTATTTAGGTCATGTGATCGATAGCAAAGGGCTACATAAGTCAGATACCAAGATACAGAGCATTCTGAAATGTAAAAGGCCAGAAAACGTTTCTGAACTCCGAACATTCCTGGGCCTAGCAAATTATTACAACAAATTCATAAAGAATTTGGCAACACTACTACATCCGTTGAACCTACTGCTACGAAAAGGAAACCCTTTCAATTGGAATTCATCTTGTGAAAAGAGTTTTCAGAAGATTAAGGAAATTATCACAAGTGACGACGTTTTGGTTCACTTTGATCCTAGCTTACCTCTGGTCTTAGCTACTGATGCTTCACCGGTAGGTGTGGGAGCCGTTCTGTCTCACCGCTATAGCAATGGAACGGACAGACCAATTGCCTTCGCCTCTCGATCTTTAACCAAATCAGAACAAAAATACTCTCAAATCGACAAGGAAGCCTTGGGAATATATTGGGGCTTGAAAAAGTTTTTCCAATTTTGTTATGGCCGCAAATTTACTTTGATTACAGACCACAAACCGCTAGTCTCAATTTTTAATCCAGCAAAGACCTTACCAACAATCTCGGCAACACGGATATTCAACTATGCTCACTTTCTCTCCGGGTTCAACTATGACATAGAGTACAGGCAAACTGCTCATCATAGCAATGCAGATTATCTCTCACGTTTCCCTACTGAAGTTGTACAAGAAAACGCTATAGATGACCTCTCCAAGTACCACATAAACCAACTAGAAACACTCAATGTCAACAGTACCGTGGTGGCTAAGGAAACTATCAACGATTCTGTGTTGGGTCCAGTCCTACAGGCCTTAAAATCAGGACAATCTGTGGAACAATATGGATTTCACGATAACGAACTGTCCATTCAAGATGATTGTGTACTGAAGGGCTGGAGAGTCATGATACCTCAATCCCTCAAACCTCACGTGCTTCGAGAATTACACGTAGCTCATTTAGGAGAAATAAAAATGAAGGCTTTAGCTCGCAGTTTTTGCTGGTGGAAAAGTATAGACAAGGATATTGAACATATGGTAGCTGAATGTCGACAATGCATTGAACAATGCAACAACCCGAGAAAAACTATCCATCCATGGGAACAACCTACTAATCCATGGGAGAGAGTGCACATTGATTTCTTAGGACCAACAGATGGCCAACAGTACCTCATATTAGTGGATGCTTTTAGTAAGTGGGTGGAGGTGATACAGACAAGAACAACTACAAGTACATGGACAGTCCAAGAATTACGGAAAATCTTTTCAACTTTTGGGTTCCCTCAAATCTTAGTTTCAGATAATGGAAGACAGTTTGTTTCCCAAGAGTTCAAAAACTTCATGAATGAATGTGGGATTGTTCACAGAACAACAGCACCATATGACCCAAACTCAAACGGACAGGCTGAAAGATACGTGCAGACTGTCAAGAAGGCGTTAAAATCCATGGAGGGAGAAAAGGGTACACTGCAAAACAAAATCCAAAGACTTGTAATGCAACTCAGGCAATCCCCGAATTCAACTGGTACATCAGCATACCACCTAATGTTTGGAAGGAGTGTACGAACAAACCTCGCATTGCGAGGTATTGCGAGTCGCAATAATTGTTCCAACCTTAGAATCGAATAAATATCAGAAAAAGGGACTCCAAGTCGGTATTAAAAGGAATTTCAAAGTTGGAGATAAGGTTCAAGCGCGGGAATATGTCAATGGATCATCCAAGTGGTACTCAGGCTATATAACTGAAAAGCAAGGACATGTAATGTACGTAGTTCAGCTGGAAGATGGACGAATAATAAGAAGACATGTTGATCAGCTGATTCTTCGTAGAGTGCCGCAGCACAGAAAATAGAGGAGGAGGTGTTAACATATGTTTTATTTACATTTTATTTATAACATGTGTTCAAATTATTCTTTTGTTTACTTGTTGAATTGTTTATGTTTACTTACAGATTGTGATTTAATAAAAAACTTACTTTCTATTTTCTTATACAAAATGTGAACTTTTATTATTAAAATTAGTGGAATCAACAATATAATTTGTGCTCTCTTCACTATCAAAGGTGTTCTTGTCCTGTCCGTACGGAACACTGAGTAATAGGCGCTACCAAATTATGAATAATTGTTTAGGCCTACGAACCCAAAAGAGATAGGCAATTGGTCTATTGGCTGTATGGGCCAGCGAGCAGCACATAGCGTTGAGAAGGCACATTTTAAAAGCGATTTGAGCATAATCCGTAAACCTCTGTTACAATCACCCACTGCAGTTGTCACTTTACACAACCACCATTGAAGTGCCGTTAATGATTTGAAACCTTTATGTAAGCTATTAGTAACGCTTATGTAAAAAATGTAAGTTTCCCAGCCATATACAACAATGATTCAAGGTCTCTTTCCCGGTTATCAAAACTGAAGAAAAATTGTATACACAAAGAATCTCTGTTTTCATTTACTGTTACCCTACACATTATTGCACTTGTGATTAATTAAATCCGTTATGTAAGGAAAAACCTCAGGAAAAACGGGTTTAATCCAACTTGGTTTGGATTTTCTTTTGAAATGTGATCGGAAATGATTGCGGTATCTGTAAACAACATTCAATGTAAACATATCAGTGACAACTAGAAAAATAATTTTGATCCGAACAGCTGTTCGCTATTTCATAGATGATTATGTGATAAACATTGTGAGAAAACTTGAGAAAAATTGCACAAAATTGGGTTTCTAAACGTCCGTAAGTTTATTTACAAAGTAATGAGGCCATATTTTAATAGCTAAAGACACTCTCGCCAATCCAGTGAATACATTAAAATGATTCGGATCTAGATAGGTACTCTCGTTTTTCAGGAGAAGGCCGCGTAAAATGGCTCTTGGGCTGTGACAGACGGAAGACAGACAGACAGGCAGAAAAAAATTGAGATAAGACTTGTTTCGGCTTCTTAACTGTATAACGTAAAAATAACAAAAAAATATATATTTCTGAGCAATGTACAGACAACACTCTAATTTTATTCATACATGGTGTTTTTTTTTTTAACTTGCATCTTTATTTATGTAAAAACCGCAATAGATAGAAATGTGCAGTTTGCGGGAATCCTCTATTGACGTAGGGGGCCCAATTGTTTTGAATTCAACGTTACATTCAAATTCCCCCCTTCCCCCCTCCTTTAACAAAATTTTTTTAATAGCAAGGTACCCCTTGTGACATATCAAATGAAAGAGCATAAAAAAAGAAAATGCTTGGTGAAATTTATTTTTCATTTGATAAGTCACAAGGGGGGGGGTACCTTGCTATTAAAAACAAAGTTATGGGTAGGGGAAAAGGGGGGGGGGGGTAATCTAACAAATTCATGAGCCGATTTTCAATTTTTTTCACCAAACATTTTCTTTTTTCATGCTCTTTCATTTGATATGTCACAAGGGGTACCTTGCGATAAAAAAAATTAAGTTCTGGGGAGGGGTGTGCGGAAATATCTCACAAGTTTATGAACCGATTTTAATTTTTTTGTCATCAAACATTTTCTTTTTTCATGCTCTTTCATTTGATATGTCACAAGGGGTACCTTGCTATTTAAAAAAAATAAGTTGGGGGCAGGGGGTGGAAGGGAGGGAATGTGAATGTAACGTTGAATTCAAAAAAATTGTGCCCCCTACGTCAATAGATGATTCCCGCAAACTGAATATTTCTATCTATTGCGGTTTTTACATAAATAAAGATGCAAGTTAAAAAAAAACACCCTGTATAGATAACTCTAACAATATCTTCGACGATTTCCTTCCAAAGCTGTAAATAATATATTTCTGGCCTAAAAACGTGTTTTATGCAGTTAAAACTAAAGGCTGGATCATAGTTCTAGGCGTCTGGCTGACGCATGCGCATTAATTTGCTGTGTTAATTCCCCATCTGTCAAAACTTGGGCTAACATATGATTAAATGCAAATTCGCTATTACGCATGCGGCAGCCAGACACCTAGAACTATGATCCGGCCTTTACCAAGAAAAATCTAATTTCGTAAAATAATGAACTTGAAAGACATAACTCTCTAACAGTGAGCCTTATGGGTTACTAATTTGGGAACGAAATAACAAACGAAAATAGGTACCGTAACATCAACAAAAGAATAGTTAGTACTCTCCATTCAAGTCACTTGTGTTTTTTCATAATCTCAAACACTATCCCATAGTTACAATTAAAAAACAAAATACATAAATATACAGCTGATCATAAACAAACCTAATACAAACCAAAGAGGTTTGCATCTATCCTCAGGTAATGTTTAACATATTACAAATAGACTGCAACATATGATTTGGATGAACGGCACTGACAAAACACTGCTCTCAGAGTATACTAATGACTTTCTTCGAGCAAAGCTCGGTCCCCAGGTGGTAACGGTAAGAGTGGCCTCGGAAACGGTAAGAGGTACGGCAAAGTGGTTAATATACAGGCCTACTACGTCGGTTCCAGCTTTTGATCAAAAACAATAATGCAGCGTAAAAATAATTATAAAGTTTTAATACGTGCCGCAACAGACGTTTCAAGAAACACATATTTTTGTGGGGGGATGTTGAAATGCGAAATTGTCACTTTTCTGAATTTTCCTCATGGTTTGGGGCAGAGACCTGTCATCGTGCCAAATTTCTACTTCCTAGCCCGTCTAGAAGTGCCCAAACACTTGTATACCTGATCAGTGAGTGAGTTACACATCGTGCTGTATAGTTAATTAGATAAAATATTAAATACAACAATTTGTTTATAAAAACACAGGATATTTTGGTAAGCACAAATCCGTTATGAGGACACATATTTGGAATTTATACACACGGCTGTTCAGGGGACAGACCCATTTAAAATGTATGGGATTTAGTTGGGAAATTCATTCTCCTACAAGTGTATTGGTATGCCTTTTTTGCCATACACAAGGCTGTTATGAGGACACAAAATGTTATATACAAGGATGTTAAGAGGACTGTCTTCTTATTAATAAGAGGACAGCAATTGTCCTCCTAACCGCTTTGCATATAAATTTTGTCCACTTAACATCCATGTACATATCTATATATATATATATATATATATATATATAGTTGTTTTATTTAATACGATTGAAAACTGTATAAATATGCGATTTGTTACTGACAACATAAACAATTCCAAATTGTGTTTTTGGAATCGATTTATGGTATGTAACGGAATATTTAGAGACACGATGCAGGTCAGAAAGTACATAGGCCTACAGAATAATAAATTCATAGCTGAATTCGTGTTTTGAATTGTATTTGTATATATTGCTTAAATACCCAAACTATACAATTTATGAAAAGGATAACGGGTACTAAAAAGATATATTGGCAGGAGAAGGCAATGTAATAGATAAATTACATAGTACAGATTATGTACCAGCGATGTGCTTGGATCGGTGCCACATTATTATATTTAATACACAACAATGGAAATCTCATCGTTTTACAGCATAACCATCACCAATTATTTGCAGGTATATTCTTCACTATATTTTGAACTCAATAATTGCGTTTTTAGTAGAGTACTTTATTACCATACAGTAGTATTTAGTTTTTTTTAATAGTAGCCTACTTAAACTATTTGGTAAAAAATAAAAATATATTAATGAGAATTTAGATTACATTAAGCTAGTTAGCTAGACTAGTTAGTCATGTAAGAACCTTTTGATAAAGGTATTTTACTTTTTAGAGTAAGTATAATACGCAGTCAGTGTCACATATGGGTAATTAGCGAAGGTTTTCTTTGATCTTCAACTTTCACCTTCAACGCACCAGACTAAACCTATATAGATCATATTCAGCCTCATTAAATACAAACTAGTACATTCGACAGACATAGAAACATAATCAATGTTCAATTGTTTCCTTTTTTATTATCACGCTGTATGGTAGTCATATTTATTTATTGAAAGGTTTAGTGTGCATTTATTTATAATAATTTCCTAAATGCTGTTTTCTGTAAGAGTGCCTGATATATTTCAGTCGAGATAATATATTCTGAGGGAGGAGGTACTTAACAGGCTCAGCTATTGTTTTACTACTTCTATTGTCCATTGTATCATCTTGACCTTAAAAGAACAAAATGTGCTTCAACCAACGGAAATCTTAAGCACTGTACTTAACATTAAGATTTACTTACATCTTATCTAATGAGTATTGAGTAACAAAACATCATATTAGTTTACAAAATTGTATTTTACTGTATCTCCGTGTTTTGGTTCTAAATATACGTTTCTTTCGTTGTCCATATGTATTAAAAAAATATATATATATTTAAAGAATTAGGTTATATTGTTGATAATTATAAGGGAAAATTATATAAGATTTCGTACAGTTTTTGTGGTAGTTACAAATAACAACCCCACTGACACATCCATCTGTAAAGAGCAACATTTATCTTACGTCAGCCTTGGGGATTGTAAAATATTTATGCCAAA